TATATATATATATATATATATATAATGACATATTATTTATATTATTGCACAAACTTGGAGCAAAACTATCATATCTCTTTTGATACATATTAAAAAGATCACCTTGGCTGACATGATGAGTAATCATAAGAAAACAAGTAAAAACGCAGATTTAATAGCTCGCTACACTACAATTACGAAGTACGAGATAAGGTACTCTCGTCAGACCGTCAATCTCAGTAGCAATCTAGCAGTCGATTCTGCGAAGAAGCGGCGTCAATCATGAATCATATAATCATATGAGATATGACTCGTGAAAACTTCGATTTCACATCTCAAGATCTCAATTCTAATTGGCTTTGACACGAATGAGGCGTTATTAAGAGGGCCGCTCCTGGATAAAATTTCATGATTATCAAGTTTTTATTTCGAAAGTTATAAAATTATTTAAAAATCTGAAAAATTCCGAGTATCAATCATGTAACTTTCTCTAGAACGGAACCGTGAAAAGTGAACATTTTTATGTGTGGATTTATGACAATATACACGCATGCATACAAAAATTTTCATTTTTTACGTTTCCTGTTCTAGGTTATATGATCGATATCCTGAAATTTATATAAAAATTCTGGAAAAAAACTTTTTTAAAAAAGGAAAAAATATACGCCAAGTGCACAAAAAATGTATTAAATTCTTCTTAATCACGAAATACGAAATATAGTGAAGAAAAAACTTGACATGAATACCGACCAAAGTCTTGTTCAAAATTTTGAATTGTGTTTGAAAACGTGTCCTAAATCAAAGTATCAGGCTCCGCAGAATAAAAGAAACAGAGAACAGAGAATAAGAATTTAACCTATCAGAAATCATATAGGTGTGTGTATTCCATAGTACATGATTTCTGATAGGTTGAAATTCTTATTCTCTGTTCCTTTTATTCTGCGGAGCCCCTCCACTCGTAAGTCGTGGTAGCCAGTGAATAGGGATCCGGCTTTAATCGAGGCTAGAAGGTTTCCAAAAAATCACGATTGTCGTCCGAGGAGGAAAAAAATAACATACATGGCAGGATAGGGGCGCGTGGAATTGGAGTATAACTTGTGCAACGATCTCGCAAGCTCGCGGCCGTTAAGCACGACTCTGTGAAATACACCGTCTTCGGTCTTCGTTACCGGCACGTCCGAGAAGCCTGCATCTGCCGTGCAGTTCTTCGGGATTATGAGCTGCAGCGGTCTTAACCTTTAATGACAGTTTTTCATATCCAGGTAACGTACTTTGTTGTATTTGAGAATTCCCATGCATATAAAACTCGAATCCTTTGAACTTGCGCTTACTTGCGTTGCATTGCACTACGGAAATTGCAGCATCGCACAGCCTCCGCGCCGTAGGCACACGTCTACGGTTAGGTTAGGTTAAGGGCGGAATACGTCGGTCACGAAGGGCTCCTGTGCTGGGATAATTATTGTATGATCTTGTTATTAATATTATTAAACAATGATTTTCCGTCAAATCTTTTTATTATATAATGAAAGATAATAATAATTGACTCGTATGATTTAAAAATCGAGGAAAGTGTAATGTGTAAAGCCTAATCGAGTCTTGAAAACAAGATGTTAATGTTTACTATATTGTGTGAAATTTATATACTGCGTATGTAGTCCCCCCGCGACGCTGATGGATTTTCATTATACTTTTTATTATACTTTTATTACTTTTGTTATTACATATAGATTATGGACGCGTATGTTATTAATAAAAAATTGTACGATATGTTTATTAATGTATGTAGATTATGCACGTATTATTGATAAAAAATGATTATACGAGATATTATGAAGAAAATAGAGGTTGTTTAATCGAACGATCTTGAATAAACTAAATACTTTTACCCAGTTGATTTTTTTTTTATTTCAATTGATTAGAATATACGCTTAACTTTTGTATAAATATTAGAACTTTACCATGTCTGTTGATATGGATTTGAATTAATCTATTGGCACACTATGTATGTTTTCTTACTTGATTGCTTGTATTTTAGTAAATTACTAGAAATTATATGTCTATGTTTTGATTCTCATTAAATCCAGGTATTATTTTATTATTGTTTACAAAATTTAAAACTGAAACACAGACTTTCACATAATACGCAATACATAAAGTATAAGAAAATTGATCAATCTTAGAATCTTTTCTCCCTCCCTCCTCCATGAAGAGTACTTTGATTGGTTAAATCTCTAATTTTATGCAAGACCTGTCCAATTTTAGTTACAAAGCCAAGACACAAAACCAATGCAAAAAGATTTATATGGATAAAATTTTGGATACTGTAAAATATTGAGACACATCTGAGCGACATCAATATTTCACAGTCTCCGAAATCTTATCCATAAAGATTGATTTTTTGTATCGATGGTTTTGTTTTTGGCTCCAGAGTTAAATTAGACAGGCCTGCTTTATTTATCATAAGTTATGCAAAGGTCTGTGCTCTGGTCTTTAAACGAATGATACTTTCTAGTAAGAAACACAGTCTAACACAATAATCATTTCATTTTTATTTAACATTATCAGGTAACAAGGATATAACGATTCACTATGTTAATTAAACTATGTTGTGTCTCTTGTATCCAAGGCTGACACAATACCTTAGTGACACACTTAGGTGAAAATCTGAACATAGTTCTATGTGATGCAATTCTAGTAATTTATTAGAATGCAAACAATTCAGCAAAAAAAAAAATTATTTACTGGTCTTATATATTGTGAATGTGTTTTAGGTTATATAAGGAGTATTAAAAATGCAGACCATAAAGTGTGTTGTGGTAGGCGATGGAGCAGTCGGTAAAACGTGTCTTTTGATTTCATATACGACGAACAAGTTTCCTTCTGAATATGTGCCTACTGTTTTTGACAACTATGCAGTAACTGTGATGATAGGAGGAGATCCATATACATTAGGATTATTTGATACAGCAGGTAAAAGATCTTTTTTGAATTATTTCTTAAAGAGGCAGTTTATTCTATATAATATTTTATAACTTAATTCTACTTATGCTTTTTTAGGTCAGGAAGATTATGATAGATTGCGTCCTTTAAGTTATCCTCAGACCGATGTGTTTCTCGTATGCTTCTCAGTTGTGTCCCCGTCGTCATTTGAAAATGTAAAAGAAAAGGTAATGTGTATTTGTCCATTATGTTCCTGTACATAAACATTAATTAAAATTCTGTTGTAATAATATTGTTTTGTAGTGGGTACCAGAAATAACGCATCACTGTCAGAGAACTCCATTTTTACTTGTCGGAACTCAAATCGATTTAAGAGATGATGTTGCAACAACAGAGAAACTTGCAAAAAACAAACAGAAGCCAATATCTGGTGAGCAAGGAGAAAAACTTGCTAAGGAACTCAAGGCTGTAAAATATGTAGAATGCAGTGCTCTGACGCAGGTAAACAAAAATTAGTAATTTTTGTTTTAATTATAATTCTTATCTTTAAAACATTAATTTTGACATATTTGTAGAACATTTTTTTTATAAGGTGTTAAATTTATTTTAATTAAATTTTTTGATAAATCTTATTAGTAACTATTGATTGTGAATGAAATAAAAGAGAATTATATTTTTTATTCTTTTTAAATAATAATATCATGACATTAACAGAAAGGCTTGAAGAATGTATTCGACGAAGCTATTTTAGCTGCATTGGAACCGCCCGAACCAGTGAAGAAGAGGAAGTGTATACTTCTGTAAGGTGACAAAATATTGCCATCGATGGAACTTATGCCCGATTTCAAAACGACACTGTAGTATCAGGCGACGATCTTGTGTGTAGTATACTCTATATTAAATAGAACTAAATTTGCCTCTGTACGAGTTCGTAATCGTATTTGAAAAAGATAAGCAAATAGTGCACACGCAAGTCGACTGCAAATACATTCCACGAGGTATTGAAGCGATATAATAACTCTTCGAGTTTATATAACCGGATAAAACTTTTCTATCAAATAATAACGACTGTTTTTTCGAGAAGTTATTGCACAAAGCTTTCATTTTTCCAATACGACTTTCAAGGAAGAGGCGCCGGGAGTTTTCAAATAAATCTCGAAACCTTGTTCTAAACTCGTTAACTTTACACTTAATAGGAACGGAGATATGGAGAAACAAATAAAAGATTGGTGCTATTATTCAACAATATTTTTTTAAGTCGAATCATTTACCGAGATAAGGTATCTGAGTCGCATCGGTATCTGATAGAGTACTCGTTTGAGTAATACGAGTGTTCAAATATCTTTCGCTAAAGAGCGATGATTGTTTCGGTATGTATTAGAATAAAATTTCCGTTCTTGGCGACGTCAGTATTAGGAGCTCTATGGTGAATGTATAAAATGATAAGTATCATAACAGTATCATTAGATATATTATCAATTACACGTCACATAAAAAGACTACTACTAATTCTAACAACCTGTCTTATTATAAAGTATCTTTATTGATATTGGAGGTTTTTATCACGTTTTCAACACTGTAAACTTATTTAGGAGTAGTATAATTCCAAGACAGAAGTTACTACAATGAGTAATTTTATCATTTGCTCTTTTTAAAGTGTGTTATCGCAAAAGCTCTCTAATATCAATAATAATAAATCTTCGAATACATCTTTTAAACTATACACGGCAGCTGTCTTGAAGAGGGAAAGCTTTCGAGAAAATCGACCAATTTTTTTATATGTCTTTAAACACTGTTTTTCTATATAACAAAGTATTTTCAGCAATTTTACAACCATTTAATAAATCAGAATTCAAGAGCTTCTAAACCAATGTTAGCCTCCCTTCCAGTAATTGCACTGGATGCATTTAGTATATGATGGAAAGCTTTAAGATTGCTTAAATGATTATACGAAAAAAGAAGGGAGAGGAGAATTGCCGGCAATGGAGGAGAATAAAATAACTAGGGAATAAAATAATGGCACGTTATACCAATTTTCGACAACGTAAACATTATTTAAGATTTCCACTAAGATTGTATATGCAATTCTTTTCAATTATCACACGATGCTGCATGCAATAAATTTATAAGCGATTCACACACGGCAGCATGCGATCGGCTGATTTTTTGTAACTGTCCGAATTGTCGCATATCGTTAGTACTATTAACACGATGCTCGTTACGATGCATTTGATATGTGAACGTCGAATGCAGGGAATGTTACGAGAGAAAGCATTTTATCAAAAAGAATTAATCAACTTTTACACAACAAAATACAACTTTACGGATTCAGTTAAAAGTAACAGCATTTATTAGCACTGTAATGTGTCATAATATATAGACACGATCATGTAATGAAATATTCGCATAAATATATTTATACCATGTATACGACGTCCGTTTGTTTTTCATTCGTATCTGATTCTCTCATATTAGTACATCTTGTATTATCTTCACCTTATTAAAAGAAATTATGACTATTTCAAGAGATAAGAATTATTCTACGAGACCTAAATCCGAGAAGTGCCAGTACGGTCAACGTTAGATGTTGAACTAGTACACATTCTTTACGAATTTATTTCAGAATTATATAATAATTGCGTGCCGTTACTATCAGACTTTCAACGCAATCTGTCTGAAATATTGATAATCCCTCCAAATTTAATCTTAAAAATTTATAATAAATTTGTTGCAAAAACGGTCTTATTTCCAATTTTATTATTATTCTACAAGAGATCGCGTTTAGATAGATGTTAAAAATTACAATATTTCTATAAGACTCGTTAATTAATAAGTTAATAAAATTTCATGATAAAATGGGACTAATAATTGTGTTAGTTAAATAAGATTAAGGTAGATTTATGAATGTGATGAGAATATACTGCATTTTCAATAAATATCCTGCATATTTAAAATTTAATATGCTACCAATATTCTTTTATTGCAATTTTGAGAAACGTCATAGTGTATTTCAGAAGATATTAATACATATTTCAGAAAATTTGGTATCAGACATTCAATAAAAAATATTAGTTATTCGTTATATAGAGTTCGAACATACGATTTTCTATCTAAAATTTATACGAGATTCTTTAATTAGTTACATTAGAGAAAATACTTTAATTAAAATAGCGAGTCAGACATGAGATATTTGAAGCCATACACGCATTAATATACATATCGACGCAATTATTACCTTGAAATAATTAATTACGCGTTAAAATACGTGACGGTATATTTAGCGTATTTTATTAATTCATCGATGATTTGCGGTAATATAGACTATAAATTGTTCTTGTTTTCAGTTTAATGAAGATGCAATTTTTTCACAAATTTTTTTTTCAACGTAATCTCCTTTTAAGAAGATACACTTTTTCCAACGCCTATTGCTCTTTTTCTATTGTATCGGAAAACGTCAAACACGTTTACTACAAATTACTGTCAAATCAAAACTATCTATGAATCATTCTGAAATTTTGTATTGTGAAAGATAGCAATGCTAACTTGCATCAGCAACACTGCTTGTCTTCAAATAGGGGTACTTATTGATTTGCCCTCGTATATTCCGTTTGACTCACGTAGTTATGTCGTGGCCATTTTCAAAATTCGCTCCTAATCGTGCATGATTTTTTAAATATGCATGCACACGTTTTTTTCATTGAGATCGAGTATCATCAAAAAAGTCAACTCGAGCTCGGAAAATATCAGATATTGCAATCTTTATTTTTATATTGTACTAATCTTTATTTTTTTTATTCTGATAAATTTTTACAAGCGTAAGCCACTTTATATTTAATAAAAAATCTATTCTCTTTTCTATAAAGCCAGCAACATTTTTTCCTGCTGGATTACTCGCGTCTTAGTAAATTAGAATTGCAGAACACAGGATTTTAAGTAATTTACCACATGAAAATGGAAGTACAAGATTCAGCAGGAAAATAGTGAAAATACATATGTTGACCAATAAGTAATGTCTTAAGATGCTAAATCCTTCTGATTGACTTATGTGTGTGAATTTTACTGTACTTAAGGGGGACAGTCGGTCTTAAATATAAGATTCGATTATGCGAATTGCTCTCTAATTAATTCATGATATTTTAATACTATTCTTAAGACCTTAAGACAATCTCAAATATAAGAATCGACTATGAATACAGGCTTTACGGTGTATGCCATCTGTGTCTATTATTTTTAACTGGAATTACTGGACAGCACTCTTTATTTTCTCTGGCTTGTCGCGCATCCATGTTTTATTTGATTCGCGTAGTCACGTCGCCATTGTTCTTGTCGCAAGTTTTAGAACAGTGTATGATCCTGATTACATTTTCTGCATATTTCTGCCATCGAGCCATAAGTCCCACGTATAAGCGTCAAGTGTACCGTATCGTGTGATAAGTAAGTTTTGTAAAATTTAGAATATATCGAATAGTGTGTTAAGCGTATATAGTTGCAATTAATCTTTAATCTTTAATTTTAGCCGCTCGCGCAATCGGCGTGTGCCGCTCGGTCAATATGAATCCGTTTATTCAACATTTGAATATTTTACATATTTATTAAAGCGCATCGTTTCGCATCATTTAATCGGTTGAATCGCGAAAACGTGTTTCAAAGCATAAAGGTAACCCTTGGTTAAATCGAAGTATTTTAAATAGCGGCGCTCCGATGTTATCATGGTGACATCACACGCTGCGCGAAGTTGGCAGCGCGTAATTGGACCCGTCGCAACAAACTTCACGTGAAACTAACCGACTTTTGTGTTTAACTTGAGTATTTTCTAACCATATTCGACTATTACTGGTCGATCCCAGTTAGGGGATTGACAGTAAGTGCCATAAAAAAAGAAGGTGATACAGGGATCGCGATATCGCGTTTATTGTGCCAATCGCGTGAACAATCCGTCGTTGATCGTGCGCGCGATAAAACGTCGAGAGTGCCGTACATAAAATGATGGATGATTATTCTGTACATGGTTGTACAATCGCGGTTGGTGGTGCCGTCTCGAGGAGCCTGCATCTTTGCAAACGAGCTTCCAGACCGACGGAGCAGCGGACGAGAACGTCGACGATCCAGGAAGAGAGGGAGCGTCATCGACCGGTGAGTGAATTGAATTTATTAATTAGGATGCTTATTGCTAACAAAAATATAATTCTTATGGTAAAATTTAATAATAATAAATATTGTAAATATAAAATTTTTGAGATTTTTCCCTTAAAAATCAGGAATTTTCATGAAATTTTCTGGTACTTAAGCAGGAGCGCGTAGATTCTCGCGTGTCTCCAGATATCAGTTTTTTATTTTTATTTAATAAACAGCAAGGATAAAATGATACCAGAGCACGTATATGGAATTATTCGGAACAGTTCTATGGGTTTAATTTCTAGATCCGGTAACTGAATTAGTATACATTTTTAGAATTTTAAATGGAATAGGTATATATTTGATATTTGACGAAAGTGAGGAAGAAAGTTCTATAATATACGGTCTAACAGGAATAAAAAATAGATTACATGCCCTGAGTAACTCTGATGAAAATCTGAATATAGCCAGGTAGTTTGTACTACAAGTCTGAAATTCGCGAAAACTTGGAATTTTCAAGGGATGTTTTTTTTATTCTTGAAAATTATATATCAAATATTTTCAAGCAATCGGTGAACAACAAAAGTAAAATAACAGATTACATGCTTTATGTATAAAACGCGGAAATGCAATTTGTATTGATACTCGAGGTACTTGGAATTTGAAATGAAAATATTTATTGTTAGAAAATTTGGAAAATTTTTAGAAATTTTTTTACAAGATTAAAAAATTTTTAATATCCTATTTATGTGTATTCACTTAGTAATCGTATAGCTGATTTATGCAAAGCTGAAATTGGTATATATGTATCGCAAATTTCAATATAAATATCAATGCTGGGAAAATTTTTCTCATGTCGTTCAGAAACGCAATTGACATTTTATATTTTTCAATTTCTACGTTTTTAATATTTTAAATATTTATGAATGTTGTCCTCTCGAGGAAGATCTCATTTTTTTGTACTCCAAGTGTCCGAATCGCCGAACTCGAATCTATATATCTGTAATTGTCGCTTGAACGTATTAGATCGATCCATCTTCTTTCTTGCGCGCACGTTCCTTCGTCTTGATCGGTAATGACAACCGCGAGATACA